GTAGAAAGTAGTGTATTGGAGATACATTAAAAATTAATTCAACATTACTTGTACTTGAGATATTGATGGAAAAGCTGAAAACTAATTATGTAAAACTAATAAGCTCTGCACAATGTAAAACTAATAAGATTTGCGTAATGTATTGTATATGTACCAAGTTTCATTAAAATGTGATTAGAACCAACAAATTATGAATTATTATGCTAATTAGAGAATTAATATGAACAGATTTTAACCCAAAATTAATCAGGCCGTCTATTGTCTTAGAGCATTTATGTACCAAGTTTTTTTCAAATGTGATGATCAGTACTTGAGATATCAGTGTTAATTAATTATGTTAATTGGTGATTAAGAAATATAAATAATTATCAGAAACTAATTGGGTGTATAGTCCTAGGTTCATTGAAATGTGATGGTGCGTACTCTTTTAAAAGTTTCATTAAAATCCAATGAGTGGTTCTTTAGACAGTGCAACAGTCATGAAACAGCAAAAAATTAATTACTTATGCAAATTAGGTAATTAATATGCACAATTATTTACCCCAAAATTAATCAGGTGTCTCCATATCCTAGAAGATCTATGTCGCAAGTCTCATTGAAATGTGATGATTAGTACTTGAGATATCAGGTGAAAAGCTGAAAATTAACTAATTACGCTAATAAGGTGATTAATATGCACAAATATTTACCCAAAAAACTAATTAGGTCTCTGCACAGTTCTTAAGTAACCAAGTTTATTTGAGATGTGATGACACTACTTGAAATATCAAAAGTTGAAAATTAATTAATTATGCAAATTAGGTAATTAATATGCACTGAAATTACCCTGAAACTATCAGGTCTGTGCAGTGTCATATGACATCCATGTGCCAAGCTTTATTGAAATGTGATGATTAGTACTTGAGATATCAGTGGAAAACCCGAAAATTGATTAATCATTATGCAAATTCGGTAATCAATATTGCACAGATTTTTACCCAAAACTAATCAAATCTGTGCATTAGTTCAGAGCATCCATGTGCCAAGTTTCATCAAAATCCAGTGAGTGGTTCGTTAAATATCAGTGGAACAGTCATGGAACAGCTAAAAATCAGCTAATTATCATGCAAATTAGGTAATTAATACGCATGGATTTTTACCAAAACCTAATCAAATCCGCGTCCAGAGCATCTATGTACCAAGTTTCGTCAAAATCTAATGAATGGCTCTTTAGATATCAGTGGAACAGTCAAGGAACAACTAAAAATCAGCTAATTATCATGCATATAAGGTAATTAACTGTATGGATTTCAACCAAAATCTAATCAAATCTGCGCATTAGCCAAGAGCATATATACACCAAGTTTAATTAAAAACCAACATATGGTTCTTAAGATATCAGTGGAATAGACAGACACACACACACACACACACACACACACACACACACACATACAGACAGGGAAACTGCAAAGAAACAACAACAAAAACAACACAAATAATCCAATTGGTATTTTAAAATTTAGTCAATGAAACAATATTAATAATATCAACATTATTTTTGTCATCTGACCGTGTAAAATGTAACTGACATCAATCAGGTCACAAATATTCCCTGTACGACACCCTGTATTTTTTGGGTATTTTCAATCACAAGATTGGTAGGGTTTTGGCAAGTTCTTCAAATTCATAACTTTTACAGAAAATTCATATCATTTAATGTAATTTACTTTTTTTTAGATATTTTTTTCTCATGAATTTGTTTCAAAGTAGTTTTATTTGTCTGAAATTTTCATGATATTAAGTCACAATATAACTGGAACATGCATGTATGTGGTAACACTACATGTACACTCACTTTATTGACAGCGTTCATATTGGCAGAATATTTAATTAACAATTCAACAATAGGTGTGAATCCATATAATGTAGCTTTATGTAATGGAGTGTCAAATTCCTGGAAAAGAAATAAAAAAACATTACTTTGATTATTACATTGTAATCTATAATATAATACTGTGGGAAAATTATTAAAACTGTCAGTGATGTTATTTGGCTAGATCGATAATGTTGAATACAAATAACAGTGAATAATAACATTTATAACCGAGGAGGCCAGTGTAAATCAATAATAGACTGATAGTGCATTAGTTAAGTGTGACCACTGATTTAGGCGCACTCTGTCAATACTTTGTGAATGATTTTGTTTTCTTTTCCTGTATAGAAACACCCACTGTAATAGGAATGGACAGTAATTATAGCAGGGTGTGTGTCTCGTATCAGACATTAAATGATCACAGCTTTCTCTTGGACCAAAACTTTGGTGAATAGCGTTTTGCAGGGGCCAGAAACTTTTACTGTTATGTGGATAAGATTGAGACACTGTTATTAAAATATTGATGTTTGCAAATGTGTATATTAAGCAAAAAGATACTACATATTACCTCATCAACTACGTCTACATTAGCACCTGCTGATATCAATATCTGAACTGATTCATGATCACCTTTTTCTACTGCATAGTGAAGTGGAGTCTTGTTGTACTGAAACAAATATATATATATATATATGACACAAATACGGCGTCAGTAAACTTTCAGACCATACAAGCAGGTCTGACATGATTCATTTAATACACAATATGCAATTAGCACTAAAGTATGAATTTAAAATAAAATTTTGAATTACCTTATCAACTACATTTACATTAGCACCTTCTGACACCAATGCATCAACTGATTCATGATCACCTTTTTCTACTGCATAGTGAAGTGGAGTCTTGTTATACTGAAACAAATATATATGACACAAATACAGTGTTAGTAAACTTTCAGACCATACAAGCAGGTCTGACATGATTCATGTAATTAAGCAATAACCCCCCACCGAAGGCGGGTATACCACGAGATATTGCACAATTATTGCTATTATATTATACCAGTATATTGACAATTCGATAAAACTAGTAAAATAAGTTTACTTTCATCTACTAAAAGATCCTGATTATGGCCCTTGAACATGAATATTTATAGTATGTAGTTGCACGCTGAATGCATACAAAAATTACATGCGCAACACAGTTCAAATTGAATACAAACTAATTTTTATTCCACATGAAAACGAAATGTATCCACGGTGAATAGAGCAGTGTAAACACACAAATTAGCTTAACAAAAGATAACCTTTCTGACCTTTTACTGACTGCGTCAACACGATTTGAAAGACAGGGTCGTGTACTGTTTGGATCATTAAAACAACGGATTTTCCACATTTTCATTCCGGTTTTTGTACAATTTGGATTGTAATTTGCCCATTGAAAGTACAGTTGTGAAATAAACCAGTTTTGTGACTCATCATACTACTTGTAACTGTGGATATTTGACGTTCAGTGGTACTTGGTTCGACCGAAATTTGAGACGCGGCGGGACGCAGTGTATCAAGTATGGCGACCGGCACGGTGACCTCAGTTCCAACATCTGATCTAGATACCTTTGGTATAACCAAAGTTTTGTGACAGTATGACAAGTTTTGTCATTGTTCTGGGTTAAGTTTGATGGTGACACGTACATGATATGCCTTGTCTCAACTCCGGTCGAAAGAAAGACATTGCACACCGTCGCTCTAATACTGTAACAGTGGTTGGTGTACATTCAGCACAAATCTGCAGCTTTCGAAATTACCTTCATCATCTCCTGTAATTTATTTACCCATAGTGGAGAATTACAAACAGATGGCAATTACCCGGGTGCAATTTCACTGCAATTTTGTGAGCTAGAATTCAAACGCCGCAACGGGACACCGGTTGTTATTGGTGGCATACATTTTTGCCTGTGACTCATAGTTTTTTGCATTTTTTTGTCCTTCAATCCCTCAATCTTATCTACCGTAATCCTTCTATCAATTCGATCATGAAAAAATAATTATTTTTGGGAGTGGCTGATTTAGTGTGATTTTGGCTTGCTAAAATCGATTTTGTAAAACGCCCTGAGCTTGGAGTCTAATCCGGATTCTGGCCGTCTTGCCTTCAGCCTATCACAGCTCGTTTATTTTGACCTATCACAGCTTTGTTTACCTACCACAGCTTTGTTTTTTGCGGACCAATCAATGTTTTTTTGCACACATCCCCTAGCGTCCCTTGCTAATTGCTTTCTTTTGTGTGCCTTTGTCTTAGTCATTCATGTATTTAGCCACGCTTAGTGAGCATCGTTTTGTTTTCAATCAATTGCTTTTATACAACTCATTATTTCATCTACTCGGCGTAATTGTTCGGCT